TCGGTTGGAAGGCTGAGGGAGGGAGCGGGAGAGGGGCGGGAGCGAGGGGGCCGAGGGGCCGAGGCCCGGGAGGCGGCGCCTGGGCCCGAGCCGCCCATGCTCTGGCTCCTCTCCCCGGAACAGGCCCCCGACAGCTGCTCGCGGGAGCCGCCTCCCGACACCAGAGCCCCGCCGGCGCCTCTAGCTCTCGGCTCCTGGCTCCTCCTTCTCCCCCTCTCCTCGGCCCCGCCGCCCACGGAGGAGGCCCCATTCCCGGGTCGGATGCCTGGGTTGGCCAGGTAGAGCGATGAGAGGTAGGGAGAGCAGCGGGGGACCCCTGCCGGGAGGGGGGCGCTGGATGACCGATGGTAGAGGCCTGGGCCCCAGGGGAGGGGCAGCCCAAAGAGGAGGAAGGATGGGGGACGCAGGACGTTTAGGGTTGTGCTTGGTGTCCAACTCTTCTAAGTCTGCCCCTTCCTGCCTGCCCAATGCTCTGGCTTACTGTCTGAAATGAGGGGGGAGCCCCCTCACCTCCGAGAAAGAGGGTTTTCCAGCATTGAGGAAGGATGCCTTACTCAGCATAGAGGAACCAAACCCCAGGAGGACAAATGCCCGTATGTAGCTCCCCTGAATCATCCTCTTCCCCCTCCTGGAGAACCGGGTCTGCTTTCCCACCTGGCCAGCCCCTGGCGACATCTAACCACTAAGCCTCCACCCAGCCAACTCCCAGTTGGACAGCCTGGCCACAGCCCAACAGAGAGAGGGACTAACACCCGCACTGCTGGCGCCTTGAACTACAGTGACAGAGCCGCTGGTCCTCGCTGATGGTCAGTTAGTTCTGCCATGGGATAACGTCACTGCAGAGGGAACACCACCCTCAGAATCCCTCAACCTCTCCTGCCTGCCCCCCCCCCAAGACTTCACCTCACAGGTCCTTGCTGGATGGACATTCCTTTCCTGCACCTCTACCCCCAGCCAGAGTCTGGCCTCAGACTCACTATTGCCTCAGGATGCAGGTGTGTCCGAACTGAGTGGTAGTGTGGAGACTGAAAGCAGAAGGATCTGGGGAAATGGAGAAATGGCTCTTTTTCTTATTGCCACTCTCCCCACCCATGAGTCCACCTGTTCCCCACCCCCTTGACTTCCCTTTGCCTTGGTCATCCATGTGTGTTAGGGGGTGGACCCTAGTTCTCTTGGGATCCAGTGTCTGAGGGCCCGAGTGTGTGTGTCCCACATGATTCTCTGATTGTAGGAGCATGTGGTATTTGTCCATTCCACGTACACAGGTGTCTGCAGGTGACTTCATTAAGTGATGGCACTGGACTTTCAGGAATGGGCAGTGTGGATGGAACTGATGTGTGTGTGCGTCTGTTTGCCCTGTCTGGGAGTCGATGTGTGTAACTGATTTATGTGGCTGTCACATGTCTGTCTCTGCAAGTCTGAGGGGTTGTTTGAGACATTGAGAGTTTGTATATGTGCACGGGTGCCTGGCCTCCCTGGAGCTACATTTAGCCCCAGTGTTTACAGCCGGCTCTGTGAGTGCATGTGTCTGGCCACGTGTGTGTATATACAGAGCTGTGTGGGTGTTGTTGTCTGGGGTGGGGGGCGGGTAAAGGGGCCTGTGGCAGGGTGTCCCAGCCCCTAGCTTGTAATTGGTTGTAATAGAACAGGGTGGGGTTGGGGCAGGTCTCTGGGCCAGTCCTCCATGCATCAGACTGTGGGGTCAAGACTCCATGTGTCTGTGGAGAAAGCTAGGGTGTTTGGGGTTGTCGGAGAACAGATTGCTGAGATGCTGTGAGTTTCTGGTTTGGCTCTGTGCCCTGTTTCTGAGCCTGCTCTATTTACCTCTGGCTTTGTGTTTCTCACTCTGTCTCTGCCTGCCTCCTATCCTCTGCCTGTTTTTGTATCTCTGCCCGGGGCTCTTCTCAGCTCTGTCTGGCTCCAGTGACTCATCTGGGATAGGCATGAAGGTTACTCAGGGGAACAAGGGCCCCGCTGTTCCCGAGAGAGATGGGGGTGGAGAGTGGCACCCAGGGATTCTGGGCCAGCCGCCTGGGGACTCGGGCAGCCTGCTTTCCTGCACCAGAGGACCCCCAAGGGACCAGGCATGATGCCTTCTGGTTCTAGCTTTCCTTTGATATCAGGTGCCCCCCGTAACTCAGTCATCCCCCTTCAGCTGCTCCTTTAGAGCTGTGGGGTCTCAGCTGCCTTTTACATTCCTGCCCTGGAGCATTGTGGGAGCAGCTGGAGAAGGACAAAGGGATAGGGGAGTATCCCCCCACTCCTCTTACCTCCTGGGGTGACCTGGCTTCTCCTGTCTTTTGACCTGCCCTCATCTCCAAGGCAACTCGGTCTTTTCCTCAGCCCTGGGCTCTTCCTTCAGAGGAGCCACCATCAAAATGTGGGAAGTGGGGGGCAGGATGTCTGGGTCCCAGGGAGGGCACGCAGAGCAGGGAGAGCTGGTGCTGGACCTGATTGTGGGGGTAGGATGAGGTGCGGGGGTGGCATTAGGGGTCCCTGAGGATCCAAGGCCTATAGAACTCAGTGCTGGCGCCTGGGACAGGAGAGCCAAGATGACTTTTCCTGGGACTGGGCAGGGGAGCTACCTGACTTTGTAAAGGGATAACAGTTGGAATTGTTCTAGGTGGAGCAAGGTGCTTGGGCCCTCTAAGGAACACAGTGGGGATTCTTGAACTTCAGTGGGCACCCATCAACTGGGGATCGAGTTAAAATGCAGATTGTGATTTCGCAGATATAGGGTGGGCCTGAGATTCTGCATTTCTCACAAGCTCCCAGTGCTGAGAGGCTGAGGCTGCTGGCCTAGGGGACCACTCTGGGCCTAGCAGGGCCAGAGGACAGTGAGGTTGGAAAGCACTAGGTCCCACACTTCTCTTAGCCCCGGGCTCCTAGGTGGGGAGGGGACCAGGCTCAGCTGGTCTTAATTCTTAATTATCTTATTAATTCTATCATAGCTTCAAAAAGCAGTTGCCCAACCTTCCTGGGACATCTTTACTTTTAAGAAATCTAAAGGACTTTAGATTCTTTTACATACCACATAATTTTATATAAATGCTAAATGTTAGCATATATTACAGACTTTTAGAAAAACAGTACAACCAGTCCATCTCCCTTTGTTTTCCTCTCCTTCCCCCTCCCCCCACTCACACTAACTTATGTTATAGTAGTCTATTAGGTGTCTTCTCTCTCTAGATATATATACAAACACAGGGATTTATTTATTCTTTGTTTTCAAAAGATGGGATCCTTTTATTCATACTTTCGTATCTTGCTTTTTGTATTCAACATCTGCACAAGGAAATCCCACCAAGTCAGAGATTTATTGCTAAATTGTTATTTTCATAGCTGCATAATAGTTCATGAACCTATTTGCAGTGGCTGATTTTTCCAGCACGATCACCAGGCTTTTCACAAACGGTTAATGCACACTCAGCTGCTAACTGAAACGCTAGTGGTTCAAGACTATCCACAGGCAACTCGGAAGAAAGACCTGGTGATCTACTTCTGAAAAATCAGCCATCAAAAACTCTATGGAGTGTGGTTCTACCTTGACACATGTGGGGTCGCCAAGAGTTGGGGTTGACTCGATGGCAACTGTTTTTTTTTTTTTTTTTTCACATATGCTTTTACCTCCTTATGCTTCCCCCTCCCACTTTGGGTTAGAGCTCTAGGAGGAAGAATACTGGATTGAAGGGGATGTACAGTTTAAATAAATACAGATATTATTAGATTGCTTTCCAAATAGATGATGTTGTTGTTGTTCGGTGCCATCAAGTTGGTTCTGACTCCTAGTGACCCTATGTACAACAGAACAAAACACAGCCCGGTCCTGCGCCATCCTCACAATCATCGTTATGCTTGAGCCCATTGTTGGAGCCACTGTGGCAATCCATCTTGTTGAGGGTCTTCCTCTTTTTGGGTGACCCTCTACTTTGCTAAGCATAATGGCCTTCTCCAGGGACTGATCCCTCCTGATAACATGTCCAAAGTATGTGAGACATAGTCTCGCCATCTTTGCTTCTAAGGAGCATTCTGGTTGTATTTCTTCCAAGACAGATTGGTTCGTTCTTTTGGCAGCCCGCGGTATATTCAGTATTCTTCCGCCAACACCACAATTCAAAGGCATCAATTCTTCTTCGGTCTTCCTTATTCAGCGTCCAGCTTTCGCATGCATATGAGGCGATTGAAAACACCATGGCTTGGGTCAGGCACGCCTTAGTCTTCAAGGTGACATCTTTGCTTTTCAACACTTTAAACAGGCTTTTGCAGCAGATTTGCCCAATGCAATGCGTCGTTTGATTTCTAGACTGCTGCTTCCATGGGCATTGACTGTTCCCTTTTTGTCACTCTTTATCACCTACATTTTGTCAATCTGATGGGTATAAAATAATCTCTCTGTTACTTAATTTGTATTTCCCTGACTGTAGTGAATTTGAGTATAAAAAAAATGTTTGTTGGCGAGTTTTCTTTGCTCTTCTATGAAATTGTCTATTCAAAACCTTTGGCCATTTCTCTATTGAGTTGTTTATATTTTTTCTTGTCAGTTTGTAAGAACCCTTAGCTTATTATAATTATTAACCCATTTTCAGTCAGCTGAGTTATAAACATTTTTTTACAAATCCATTGTTTGTTTGAAGTCCTTGTTTATGGGGTAGTTTGCTTTACGTGAGCCCTTTATTGATGGGGGGTGGAGAGTGGGGCTTTAGATAAGTTATTTTACCAATCCCTGCCCTGTTTTCCTTCTGTGTTAAATGTGGATAGTAACAGTATCTACCTTACAAGGTGTCTGGGAAGATTAAATTATGGATTCTATTTAAGGGTCTAGCCCAGTGTCTGGCACATGGGAAGCATTCTAAAAGTGCAGCTGATGTTGTTAAATAATTACCGCTGTTGTCATCCCCAAAGCAGCCCATTGTGTCTCTGTTGCCGTTGGCTGTAACCCCCTGTCCGATTGCCCCTTAACTGACCCCACCATCCATTTTGTCCCCTGCAGAGATGTTGCCTCCACCCCCTTAGACCCTTGGGATCAGGAGCTATGGGGCCTGGGGCCCTGTCATCTCTACTGCTGCTGCTGCTGCTCTTGGTGGCAACTGGAGTTGCTGACATGAAGGGGCATTTTGACCCTGGTGAGGAGCTTGGTTCTTGGGTCCGTGAGGGATGGGCTTGGGAGGCAGAGAGTTGGGGGCCTTAACCCTCTGTATGCCTGTGTCCACCCAGCCAAGTGCCGCTATGCCCTGGGCATGCAGGACCGGACCATCCCTGACAGTGACATCTCTGCCTCCAGCTCCTGGTCGGACTCCACTGCTGCCCGCCACAGCAGGTACCTGGCACACGCGGGTTGCCCCACAGGGAGCTCCTAGGGCCTCTACTTGACCTTCCAACCCCTCTGCCCAAGCCAAAAGACTTTCGAGAGGGCCTATGCCAGTGAAATCCCTGCGGTCCTAGGGGCTTTAAATACTAAAGAGGGAGGCTAAGAGAAGGCCATGTTCCTGTGACCTCCTTACCCCTTACAGACTGGAGAGCAGTGACGGCGATGGGGCATGGTGCCCAGCATTGCCGGTGTTTCCCAAGGAGGAGGAGTACCTTCAGGTGGATCTGCGACGGCTGCACCTGGTAGCTCTGGTGGGCACCCAGGGACGACATGCTGGGGGCCTGGGCAAGGAGTTCTCCCCCAGCTACCGACTGCGTTACTCCCGGGATGGCCACCGCTGGATGGGATGGAGGGACCGCTGGGGTCAGGAGGTGAGGCTGCAGGGGCAAAACCAAAGGAAGGCTGGCTCTCCTCTCTTCTCCAGCTACACTTTATCCACTGATGACTCTCCAGTTTTACACCAACTCCAGCCCAAGCCTTTCCCCTGAGCGCCATCCAGTGTTGCAAAACTGACCACCTTCTGCACCTCTCCACCTAGATGTCTAACAGGATCTGAAACTTATTAACTTCCCAAGCTGAACTTGATTCCCACCTACTCCAAACCTGCTCCTCCTCCCGAATTTTCCAGCTCAGGAAATAATAACATCCTTTGCCCAGCTGCTTAGGCCATAAGCTAAGTTGATATCCCCAACTCCTCTTTTCTCTCACCTCCCACTTGCAAAGTACCAGCAAGGCCTGTCTTGTCTGTTCTACCTCCATGATATTCCCGAATCCAACTGCTTCTCACTACCTTCACCTCTACAGCCCTAGACTAGAGATGGCCTAGATGATGACAGTTGTCTCCAAACTGCTCTCCCTGCTTCTGCCCTTGTCCCTCTGAAGTCACATCTCCACCTAGAAGCTACAGTGTTGCACCTTGCTCAAACCCCTCCACTGGCTTTCCACCTGTCAGAACAAGAACTAAGCTGCTTACAGAATGCTGAGCTTGACCTAGCTCTTGCCCACTGCTCTTCTCCCTTTTTTTCACTTCTCCCTGGCCCCACTGATATTCTTGCTGTTCCTGGAACATGCCAGGGCTCATTCCCTTAGCCTGGGGCATTTTCACTTGCTATTTCTAGTTCCTGAAAGGCTCCTCCCAGATGGGCACAGGCTCTTCCTCCTTCCATTCGGTCTCCCCTCAGATATCATCTCAGAGAGCCTCTTCTGACCACCCAGCTCCCCCTGCTCTGTCCCCTCCCCTGCCTCTTGTTCTTCACAGCTGTTTCTCCTGCTGGAATCTAAGTCTTGTGAGGGGAGGGACTGTGCCTGATTTTCACGGGGACATGCCTGGCACACAGTGGGACTCCACCAGTGTTTGTTGAATGAACGGGGGGCGGGGGGGAATGGGGTAAAGGGGGAGGGGCAAGCCAAAGCAGGGATGTTGAGCCATGAGGGAGGGATTGGATAGAATGAGCCACTCAACAGGGATGAGCAGCTTTGAGACCAATGGATGGAGCCAGGCAAGGAGAGAGGAAAGAGCTGACACTGGAGTGATGAGGACACCTTCAGGGCTAGAGGGGTGTCAGAGCCTGGCTGCGCCCCATAGCCCTGTCTGCTTGGTGCTGTTCTTCATGGTCTCTTTGTGGCTGCTGTGAGCTGGGCCAGGGAGCAGCTGGAGCCCTTCCCACCCATTCACCCCATTTCCTGGCCCACAGGTGATCTCAGGGAACGAGGACCCTGGGGGAGTGGTGCTGAAGGACCTTGGACCCCCTATGGTGGCCCGACTGGTTCGCTTCTACCCACGGGCTGACCGGGTCATGAGCGTCTGCCTGCGGGTGGAGCTCTATGGCTGCCTTTGGAGCGGTGAGTCTCTCAGCCCCCTGAGACTCCTGTTCTGGGGACAGCGGGGTGGTGAGTGGAGAGAAGGGCATCTAAGACCATCTTTCTCCTGTTGGGAAGCAGTTACTCCAAGTGAAGAGGCGACCAGCCAACATGGTCATGTCATATCAGAGAGCCTGTAGGGGTGCGAGGAAGGGGCCTGCAGCATGCTCAGGCTGACACAGGTTGGGGGATCTCCATCTCCATCTTGCTCCTCTAACACCCTCCTCCCACTCTGCCCAGATGGACTCCTGTCTTACACAGCCCCTGTGGGGCAGACCATGTACCTCTCCGAGGCCGTGCACCTCAACGATTCCACCTATGATGGACACACCGTTGGCGGGTGAGAGTAGACCCTGTAGGACATGGGCCTGGGTGGGAGGGAGTCAGAGTAATGGTGGGGGTGGTCAGGGCAATGAGATGGACAGACTGAGAAGAGGGATGGGCTAGGTGGGTCTTAAAGGGACAGAACCAGGAATGGCAGGTAGCAGGCAGGGCCACCACTAGCCCATACGACACCTTTGTACAAATTAGAAAAAGATACCCCTTCTCTGAGACACTTACGGCTGTTGGAAATTGCCACACTAGATATCCACATCATAGACTGAATGGAGCCCCTTAGAGGTACAAAGTACCCTCGATGGTCCTGGGGGTAGGGAAGAGAGGGTGCAGGAGGCTGGAGTAGGAGGTCAGGAGATGGGGCAGGCCACTCTGTGTGTGTGTCTGTGTGTGTGTGTATAGTGGGGGTTGGGGGTAGAGCACCTGGAAAGGTGGTCTCTTATTCTCTTCCAATCTCCTCTTCCTCGGTCTTCCCCTGGCCAGGCTACAGTATGGAGGTCTGGGCCAGCTGGCAGACGGTGTGGTAGGGCTGGATGACTTTAGGAAGAGCCAGGAGCTGCGAGTCTGGCCAGGCTACGACTACGTGGGATGGAGCAACCACAGCTTCCCCAGTGGCTATGTGGAGATGGAGTTTGAGTTTGACAGGCTGAGGGCCTTCCAGGCCATGCAAGTGAGTGAGTTGGTTTCTCAGAGGCGGGCTCTGAGGCCAAGGTGGGTGCCTGCTGGGTGCTCCTGGTCTTAACCCTGTGTCCCTCCTACCCGCCCCTCAGGTCCACTGCAACAACATGCACACGCTGGGAGCCCGCCTGCCTGGCGGGGTGGAGTGTCACTTCAAGCGGGGCCCTGCCATGGCCTGGGAGGGGGAGCCCGTACGCCATGTCCTCGGGGGCAGCCTGGGGGACCCCAGAGCCCGGGCTGTCACGGTGCCCCTGGGGGGCCGCGTGGGCCGCTTTCTGCAGTGTCGCTTCCTCTTTGCGGGGCCTTGGCTACTCTTCAGTGAGATCGCCTTCATTTCTGGTAAGCCTATGGTTACAACCGATCCCCAACTCCTAAGACTGCTAACTGATATGATCCCCCCAACCCTATAGTGCCCCTAACATCCACGCCTGGCACCATTTCCACACATCACCCATCAGACTTCCCAACCAGGGATGCCCGAAATAATTTGAACCCCTCACTTGTGACTGATACGGAGCTAGGATGACAATACTTGTTGAAATACTGAGATACTTCTGCCCTCAGTTGGAAAATAGCCTCTTCTCCAAGCTTGCTGATCTCAGGACCCTCCCCTGGGCTCCCCCAGGAGCCCTTCACCTCCCCACAGTCCAGCACTAAGGGGTAACATCTGGCATAGCAAGGGACCTCTGGGATTTTGTTCCCACCACCAGTTCTGATTGGCTGGTGCCCGACTGGTCAGTTACATATACTGAACATCACCCCAGTCTCACTGCTTTACCCACCAACTCAATTCCCAAGGTCTTATGCAAGTATGCCCCACTTTCATCTCCTTATCTGACTCCCTTCTTTCCTCTCCTCCTTCACCCCAGATGTTGTGAACGACTCATCTCTGGCTCTGGGGGGCACCTTCCCACCAGCTCCCTGGTGGCCACCTGGCCCACCTCCTACCAACTTCAGCAGCCTGGGTGAGCAGCCTCAGGGCCTCCTCCGGGCGTCATCTCCTGGGCCTGTGGACCCCACTCTGCCATTCCTCCCCGGGCCTTCCCTACTCAGGCTGGGTGGGAAGCCTCCTGTGGTTCTGACCCTTCTGCCTCCACCAGAGCTGGAGCCCAGGGGCCAGCAGCCCGTGCCCAAGGCTGAGGGGAGCCCGACTGCCATCCTCATCGGCTGCTTGGTGGCCATCATCCTGCTGCTGTTGCTCATCATCGCCCTCATGCTGTGGCGGCTGCACTGGCGCAGGCTTCTCAGCAAGGTGGGTGGAGCTGGCTGGGGGCTGGGGGCTAGCAGTGGTCGGGACAGCCTGGTGAGGGCAGGATGTGGGTGTGGAGAGTGCGGCCAGGTTGAGGCCAATATGTGTCTGGACTTCTGTATTAGGCCCAGCACAGAACACAGGCCACAGTCAAACTAGAATAATTAGAGGAGGGTTTAGTAAAGAGACCGCATACGAAGGAGTGGGCAGGGTGCACGGAAATCACAAGGAATAGTGCAATACCCAGGGCTAGTCAACTGCAGAGCTGTGATCATCCCTGAGTCTGTCAGGGTAAGACGAGGAGCAGCTACCAAAACCGTGGAGAGGGCACTTTGAGAGGGGCTGTTGGGCTGTGGTAAGGGATGCAGCTAGCCCAAGTCCACCCCACCGAGGGAGCAGCCAGGGGAATAACTCTCCCAACTTCACTTTCCGCCTTCCTTCCAAACTCCTGCTGGGGCTCCTCTCTGGCCAAACCCATCCAGGAGCCTTCTGGGTACAGTCCATACTGATCAGCCTCTTGGGGCAGAAGCCGGGTAGAGAAGGGCAGAGAGCGGAGGGAGAGGGGTAAACAGAGGAAGTCTGGCACACTTCACGCCCACGTTTTCTAGGCAATAGTCCAGTGATGGCGATACATATTAAGGTTGATAATTATGGACTGACTAGATTTGGTTTGGAATGCCATTGTGGGACACCAGACAAATTATGTAAATACTCTCGAGCCCTGGTTTCTTTACCTGTGAAATGCAGCTAATAGTAGTTGCAACTAGAGGACTATTGGGAAGACTAAAGGAGAGAACATGGGTACAGGACTTAACATGGTGCTGGGAAGTGTCTGCTAAGTAGTAGCTGCAGTTAACATTTCCCATTCCTTGTAACAAGGCTGAGCGTCGGGTGTTGGAAGAGGAGCTGACAGTTCATCTCTCTGTCCCGGGGGACACCATCCTCATCAACAACCGCCCAGGCCCTCGAGAGCCACCCCCTTATCAGGAGCCTCGGCCCCGTGGGAATCCGCCCCACTCTGCTCCCAGTGTCCCCAGTGGCTCTGGTAAGACCTGCCTTGTTCCAGTCCTACCTCTGTCCTCTGTCTGCCTGCTTTCTTATTGTATCCTTTTCCTTCTCCTTTCCCATTCCCTTCTTTTCCTGTCCTCCCCAGTTTCAACTCATTTTCCTCTTTCTATGCCCCTGGTCACCCTCAATATCACTCCATGTCCCTGCCATATAATCACCTTCAAGAATTTCCCACGTATCTCTCATAATCCTCCACAGTTTCATCTTGTCTCTGGGTCCCATACACATCACTCCATCGTCTCTATTGTACCTTCTTATTGTGTCTCCCTGTCCCCTCTCCTTTCTCCTAGACTCACCATGTTCGTTCCATCCATCCATCTACCCATCCACCCTTCACCCATCCACCCTTCATGCATCTATCCATATATACGTACATATCTCCATCCATCATCCATTCATATCCATCCATCCTTCATCCATCCATTCATTCATCATCCACACATACATACATATATACATTTGTCCATCCATTATCCATCCAACCATCATCCATCCATCCATCCATCCATTTTCCGTACAGCTACCCATCACTTTCCAGGTCCTTGTCCCCATCAGCCCTGGTCTTACCCTATTCTGGATCTCCTTGTCTGTCTAGCCTTGAGTCTCATCCCTTCCCCGTGTCTCCCCCCTCCTTCTCCCGACAGCGTTGCTGCTCTCCAATCCAGCCTACCGCCTCCTTCTGGCCACTTACGCCCGTCCCCCTCGAGGCCCGGGCCCCCCCACACCCGCCTGGGCCAAACCCACCAACACCCAGGGTAAGCCCCTCTACCCCTGGGCTCCATCAGGCTCCCCAGACCCCCATGGGGCAGGGAAGGTCCTCACACCTTGCACTCCCTCCTTTCTTAACTGGAGCCTCTTCTGCTCTCCTGAGCTCCCAAGGAGGAAGCTCTTAATACCCTTAGCTCTCCTCTGCTGCTTGCTGCTCCTTTTTAAGGCCTCTCCCTTGAGCCTAGGCATAGAAAGCTTACTGGTTCTCGGCTCTTTACACCTCCTCCGCTTCCACCCTATCTCTTCAGCTCTCCAGAGCCAGAGAGGAGGTTGCTGTGGTGGACCCAGTTTCTCTTGTAACCCCTCCTTTATTCTCCCCTCTCTCTAGAGGTGCAAGGAGGAGGGCCTTTCACCCTGGGAGCTCGCCCCCTCCCCCTGCTTGTCCTTTCTCTGTAGTCCCAGAGGTGAAGGCTCACGCTCCTGCCCTTTCTGTCTGCTCCTCCTCTCCTTGGTGTTGCCTTCTCGTTGTTTCCCTCTCCGTAGGGCAAGAGGGGACAGCTTTGCTTCCTCTCCTTCTGTCTGCAGACTCCTTGTTGTAGGGGCTGTGAGGAACTTGTTCCCCTCTCCTCCTGTGTACCCCTGTCTCTGCTTGTCTTTGAGCTCAGTGTGTTGGGACAGGGAGGGTTTGGGTAACCGTGGTAGAAAGAGCCAGGCTGAAAGCAGGGGTAGAAGAGCAAAGTGAAGGGGAGGGAGCTGGGACTACGTAGGACAAGGGTTTGGAGGGTGGAGGGTGACCAGATGGCTGGTACCATCTTTCTGATGGTGGGTAGAGGAATTCTTTTTCCAGCCAAGACTTACCTCATGGTCTCTTGGGCTATGGAAGATCTCTAGAGAATAAGACTTTATGACATTCTTTGCTCAACCATTTCCATTGCCCTGAAACCGCTCTCTGGAACCGCTTCATCCCATGCCAGCATCTTCTCTCTGGTTTGAGGTTGGTGGGTGGAATACCAGTGAAGATACAGGGTAGACCCAGTCTCTCACCAACTGGGAGACATGGGGCCTCTGGGAGGCTGGGGTGTGGAGAACCAGGGCTCTCAGGGGCTGCCACACTATTCCTGATGCCTCCTCTCTTCTTTTCCCTCACCCTTCAGCCTGCAGTGGGGATTATATGGAGCCCGAGAAGCCGAGTGCCTCACTTCTGCCCCCTCCTCCCCAGAACAGCGTCCCCCATTATGCCGAGGCTGACATTGTCACCCTGCAGGGTGTCACTGGGGGCAACACCTATGCTGTGCCCGCACTGCCCCCAGGGGTTGTTGGGGATGGGCCCCCCAGAGTGGATTTCCCTCGGTCGCGGCTCCGCTTCAAGGAGAAGCTTGGTGAAGGCCAGTTTGGGGAGGTAAGAAGGATCCCTGCCCAGCCATGAATAGTGTCTGACCTGATCTGGGGCTCTGTCACCATGCCCACATGTCCCCCTTGGGCCTCAGTCATCTGTGACCGTGTTATTTCATTGACCCTGTGGCCGCCTAACAAATGACTTTCTTTTTCTAGGTGCACCTGTGTGAAGTAGAGAGCCCTGAAGATCTGGTCAGTCTTGATTTCCCCCTTAATGTACGCAAGGGACACCCCTTGCTGGTAGCTGTCAAAATCCTACGGCCAGATGCCACCAAGAATGCCAGGTGAGGAGCAGGGCTGGTGTTGAAGAGCAGGGGCAACCTAGAGAGAAATGCGGTGGAGACTAACAGAGGGGCAGTGACAGGGGAAGGAGGCCCCGCCTGGGAGATGGAGGCTTAGATCTCAGGCCATCGCATCACGAGTGAATAAAGCATGTGTTCAGGGTGGGGGTGGTCGAGGTCACTGTGAGCAGGAGGGCGGTGCAAGTCACCCCCTTGGCCTTCGTCTCCACCTCTTCCTGCTTCTCCAGGAATGACTTCCTGAAGGAGGTGAAGATCATGTCGCGGCTAAAGGACCCCAACATCATTCGGCTCCTAGGCGTGTGTGTGCAGGACGACCCCCTCTGCATGATTACCGATTACATGGAGAATGGTGACCTGAACCAGTTTCTCAGTGCCCATCAGCTAGAGGACAAGGTGGCAGAGGGGTCCCCAGGGGATGAAGAGGCTGCCCAAGGGCCCACCATCAGGTAACCTGCCTACCCGGGCTGGGCTTCCCCTGATTGCCCCTCAAAGAGGTCTGCTCCGCTGCCCTTGCCCCAGCCTGGAGACGAAGAGGGGACTGTGGGGTGAGGAAGCAGATAGAGGCTCCAAGAGAGGCCTAGGGTGAGGAAGATGCGACCACATTAATCCAAGAACTTGAGGGACAGAAAGGCTGGAGGTTACTATGGTGGTTGTAGTGAAGGGACTAGGACCCTGTCATGAATTTCTCTTTTGCCCTCCCCCACCATCACTCTCTCTGAGTCCAGATTAGGGAGCATAATGAGAGATAGCTCCCTAGGGTCAGATGAGCCAAAGACAGGTTGTGTTGGAACCTACCATATGGCCTCCGTGGAGGGGTGGGAAGTGGGCTCCCCGTCCTCTCCCAGATGGGAATCTGTAAAGTGGGGCAGAGCCAGGGCTTCCCCCACAATGACCCTCTATCGTCACCCCTTTCTCAGCTACCCAATGCTGTTGCACGTGGCGGCCCAGATTGCCTCGGGCATGCGCTATCTGGCCACACTCAACTTTGTGCATCGGGACTTGGCCACGAGGAACTGCCTGGTCGGGGAAAATTTCACCATCAAAATTGCTGACTTTGGCATGAGCCGGAACCTCTATGCTGGGGACTATTACCGCGTGCAGGGCCGGGCGGTGCTGCCCATCCGATGGATGGCCTGGGAGTGCATCCTTATGGTGAGCTGCCAGGAGAGAGGTAGGGCTAGTGGAGGCGGACCCTGGCTTTCTGGAGAGAACACTGGCTGCCCCTCACAGTCTGGGGTCCCCTTCTGTCACATTCTCTGGACTGCAGTTTCCTGGTCTGTAAAATGGGGTTGGGCCCATGCTCTGTAAGGTTCCTTCTGACTCAAGGGATTGGAGAAAGTGGGGAGCTATAGTGGAGAAAAGCTACAGATGGAAAAAGAGCCAGGAGCCAAGAATGAGTGTGGAGGATGAAGTCAGGGTGCAGAGAGCAAGAAGGATAAGGGGAGAGGAAGCCACAGATGGAAGAGGTTGGGTAGGGAGATAAGAAGATAGGAACCAGATAAAGGGGTGGGGCGGGGGGACAGAGGAAGGATGGGTAGAAGGAAGAGGTGGGCCAGGGCCCAGGAAAGAGGACTAGAGCAAGGTGGAAGGTGAAGCCCTAGGCAAAGAGGCGCAGGCTTGTTGGGAAAGGTATGCCAGCTAAGGAAAGGAGATCCTGGGGTGGGGAGGGGTGGGCTGGGTGAAGGGCTGAATGAACTAGAGCTGCCTGTGGGGAGGGGAGGAGCGTCTTCAAGGGCCTGATCCCTTCCTTCTCTGCCTTTGTTGCCCTGTCCATGCACCAGGGGAAGTTCACGACTGCGAGTGATGTGTGGGCCTTCGGGGTGACCCTGTGGGAGGTGCTGATGCTCTGCCGGGCCCAGCCCTTTGGGCAGCTCACCGACGAGCAGGTCATCGAGAACGCGGGGGAGTTCTTCCGGGACCAAGGCCGGCAGGTCAGAAGGGAGGGAAGGGGAGGTGCACCAGGGAGCCCGGGAGGGGCAGAACCTGTCAGCTTGGGGACTAAAGAGCATCCGTCCCCTGCCTCTCGCCCACCCTGCTCCCATGCAGGTGTACTTGTCCCGGCCCCTGGCCTGCCCGCTGGGTGTGTACGAGCTGATGCTGCGGTGCTGGAGCCGGGAACCTGAGCAGCGACCACACTTTTCCCAGCTGCATCGGTTCCTAGCAGAGGATGCGCTCAACACAGTGTGAATCCCAGCATCCAGCCGCCCCACCCTCAGGGAGCGATTCAGGGGGAAGCCAGCGGCACTAAAGCAAAGAGAGACAAAGGACACTCCTGCCTCATCCCCTTATCACCTCTGAATCCTGTGACTGCAGGTGGGCTGGGCCTGCCCAGGGAGCTACACCCTCTCTGCCCCAGGTGCTCTCATGCCCCCTCCCTGTTCCTCCTCTCATCTCCTCTCCTAGAAGCCCCCACCGCCCACCCAGCTGGCCCTGTGGATGGGATCCTCTTTGACTTCTTCCAGCCATCCCTTGGGGGAAGATGGGGCAAAGATAGGGCAGACACTGGACATGGCCCTTTGGGGCACCAGGGCCCCACTGGACAACACTGGTTCCTGGAGAGATGGCTGTCCCTCCCCACCCCCCAGCCTCTCTCTCTTTCCCGTCACACACTGGACACCACTGGCTGAGAATCTGGGGGGTGAGGAGGACAAGAAGGGGAGAGCCGCTCCCTGGTGACCACTCCTGAAATTGTCTTCAGCTTTGGCTTCTCCCGCCTCCTTCCCCTGAACACTGGACCTCGGGGTGATTGCTGCCGCTACCCGCATCATCCCCACTTCCTTCCTGCCGTTTTGTAGCTAGAACTTCTCTAAGCTTTTGTTTCTGTGGAATAAATACTGGGATTAGGGGGAAAGAGGGAGCAACAGCCTGTGGCCCTGGGTTTGGACATCTCTATCGTAGCCGCCACATTGGTTTTTCTATAATCATTTGGGGTTTGTACATTTTTGGGGGGAGAGATGCAGATTTTTACACTAATATATGGACCTAGCTCGAGGCAATTTTAATCCCCTGCTCTAGGCAGGTAATAATAAAGGTTGAGTTTTCCACAGCTGTGAGTTGGGTTTCTTGGGTTTTGGTAAAATCTGCCTCTTGCCCCAACACCAACCATTTCCTTTGCTTCTTCTCTTTTCCTCCCCCTCCCCATTCCATCTACTCTGCCCCAGCATAGTGTTCTGTTTATGCACAATCCAGGCCTTTGACTGCAGGATCTCAGGAGAATTTCATGAAAGTATGAACCATGTCAAGGGGCCTGGCTGGCAAAAGGGGTTTGTAATTGCCTGCTAACTGAAGGGTTGGCGATTTGAACCCACCCAGTAGCTCCACAGAAAAAAGGCCTGCTTTCATAAAGGTTACAGCCAAGAAAACCCTATGGGGCAGTTCTACTCTGTGACATTTGGGGTTCCCATGAGTCAGGGGCCAACTCCAATGCAGCTAACAACAGTGACCCATGTTTACTCTGGGGAGTTCTGCAGGAGACCCAGCTCGACCCTCTTCCATACTGTGGTTAAGGAGGTGGCTTAGGCTAGGGGTTCTTAACCTTTGATGCTTTGGACCCTTTTGGCAATCTGGAGAGGTGTACCGATTCCTCCTCAGAATTATGTTCTAAAACTCGAAAAATAAAACGCATAGGATTACAAAGGAAACCAATTGAAACAGTTACCAAAATGTTTAAAAACTGTGATATAACATGAGCTTTTTAAAAAATATATATTTAATAAGATCTGGAAGAAGGTGTAATAATTGCTGACATTTCCCAGTAGTAATGAGCAAAATGCTATTTTGAGATTTCTACAACCGTAATTGGATATAAAAATAGCTGTGATGTCTATTAGTGACAAGTGACTACTGCTAATACTACTGGAGGTTTTGCCTATATTCACAATTGAAGGAGATGATAAATTTTCAGAGGTTAGTAAAAATAAAGGTGTAATTTTTTTTCCCTTGTACAAATTTAAGGACCTCCTGAGGACCTGGGAGCCCCAGGTTAAGAATCCTTGGATTAAGCTGATCAAGGATGCAGATGACCCAATGGGTGCGAGCTCTTTGGATAGAAGCTGGAACCAGGAGCCTAAATTCTCTCAGAAACCTGGAAGGCTGAGCCATAACCACCAAGAACGCATTGAACAGAGTTCAAATTTGGTTTAAAAGAAAAAACAGAAAACAGTTGCAAGTATTGGAGAAGGCAGACCTGCTTGACAGCCAGTACCATCTGCCATGGAGTCAATTCTGACTCATGGTAACCCCGTGTGTGTCAGAGCAGTGTGTGTCAGAGCAGAACTGTGCTCATAGTGTTTTCAATGGCTTATCTTTTGGAAGTATATCGCCAGACCTTTCTTCTGAGGTGCCTCGGGGTGGATGCAAACTTCCAATCTCTTGGTTAGCAGTCAAGTGTGTTAACTGTGTGCACTACCCAGGGACTCATGTGAAATAAAAACCCTGGGGTTTTGGTTGATGATATCCTCAAAATGAGCCAACTGGATAATGAGGCCAGCCATAAAGATAATTTAATCTTAGGTTGAATTAACAGGCCCTCAGAGAAAACTCTTAATAGTCCTGCTGAAACCTACATAGGTCAGACCCAGATTGGTGAACAGTGGAGGCCTTGGCAGCGAACTGATAACTCCTGAATTTACATCTCTAAACCCAGAACTAAGCTGTACCCACTGCCGTGGAGTCGATTCTGACTCATGGCGACCCCATAGGGTTTCCAAGGCTGTAAATCTCTACTGAAGCGGACTACCACATCTTTCTCCTGCATAGCCACTCATGGTTTGGAACTGCTGACCTTTCAGTTAGCAGTTGATCTCTTTTAACCACTGCACCACTAGGACTCCTAGAACTAAGCTATAGACCTATATAACCACCTGAAGTTCATCTGCTCCTCCTCGATGTATCAGGCTACACAAACCGGAAACCTGGGACATCGTCCTTGGCACTCCTTCTCCTTTATCCTCACCTCCCAAGCCCATTCTATCCTGAAGCCCCACTGAGTGTGCCTCTCAAATTTCCCCTTGTTCATTTCTTCCTCCATCACTGTCCTGGTACTTGCTACCACAGCAGAAGTCTCCTAGCTGGTCACCCTGGGTCTGCGCCTGCTACTCTTTGGTTTGTTTTTGGCACTGCAGCCACCAAACCCACCAAACCAAAACCGAAACCCACCACCGTCAATTCCAACTCATAGCAGCCCTGTAGGATAGAACAGAACTACCCTCGTAGGGTTTCCAAGGCCATAAATCTTTATGGAAGCAGACTGCCACATCTTTCTCTCGCAGAGTGTCTGGTACTTTCAAATCGCTGACCTTTTGGTTAGCAGCCAAGTACATAACCACTGTGCCACCAGGGCTACTTACTGCATCCACAGTGATCTTTCAAACACAAAAATCTGACCCCTGTCTTTTATTTCAAACCCTTTAATGGCTTCCCATTGATCTCTGCATAAAGAACATAATCTTCTTTCTGGCCAAGTATGGCCCCTAAACACCCGTCCAGTGTCCTCTCCCACCCTCCCTATGCGCCACTGGCCTTCTTTCAGTTCCTCCACGGGCCAAAGTCCCTCCTGCCAGGGTCTTTGTAGCATGCTGTTCCCCCACCTGGAACACTATTCCCTGCTGTCTTTGCCTTGTTAACTTCTGCTTGTCCTCCAGCAGCCTTCCCTGACCTCCCCAACCAGGCCAAACCCCTCCTGATGCTCTTGGAGCATATGGATCTCTCTTTCGTAGCACTTACTTAAAAATGAACACAAAAAATAACCAGCTGCTTTGGAGTTGATTATGACTCATGGCAACCCCATATGTGTCAGAGTAGAAACATGTTCCATAGGGTTTTCAATGGCTGACTCTTCAGAAGTGGATCGCCAGGCCTTTCTTCCGAGGCACCTGTGGGTGGACTTGAACCTCTGACCTTTCAGTTAGCAGCTGAGGGCTTTACCCATTTGCACCACCCAGGGACAGCACTTACTATAGGTGCAATTTTACATGCATTTTTTTTTTTTTAATACCTGTCTCCCCCACTAGACTAAACTTCACAAGGGCAAGTTCCTAGAACATGGCTCAACAAATATTGGTTGAAAGAAGGAACTGTCATCAAATATCTGAAGGGCTAACAACAGATTGGATTATTCTGTGTAGTTAGAGAACTAGGATCAATAAGTGAAAGTTATAGAAAAAAATGATAATATGTACTGAACACCTACTATGTGCCAGGTACCACACTTATTACAGATTATATCTTACTACTCACAACAACATATGAAGTAGTTTAAAGAACTGTCATTTCACAGAGAAGAAAACGTCTTTGTTAGGCTAAGCAACTTTCTCAAGGTAGCACAGCCAGTAAAAGGCTGCTGGCTCTCTGGTCTTTGTCTCCAGGATGGTGCCTGAAGGAAGGAGGTCATGAGTGCTCCATCACAGGCTGTTAGCAAGCACAGGCTGGACAACCGTTTGTCAGGAAGCACTTTCTAAAGTTTCAGCTCCTAGTATTCCTTCTTAGGCCCACCTGGCTCACGAGGTTGATTTTCTTCCTTAAGGCCAGTTCCAAGAACTCAGCCTGTGCTCAGTTCCTGCCACCAGCCATCCTGCCCTCATCCATGTATCCCTCAGAGCAGAGCACCCCAAGAGAACTCTCTACATTAATGGAAATGTTCTGCAGCTGCACTGTCCAATAAATAGCCAACTAGCCACATATGGCTCTGGAGCATTGAAATGGGGCTAGGGGAACTGAGGAACCAAATTTGAAATTTTATTGTCATTAAATTTAAATAGCCATAGGTGGCTAGTGGTTATGGCATTGGACAGTGCAGTCTTGGGGTTTTCCCTGCATTGTAGAGCATTGTGACACAATTTTGTCCAGCTCCCACTTGCTAGGTCCCTCCAAAATGAAGCATATGGCCTCTTTCAGTTTTTCACGCACAGAAAAGCTTTTTGCAAAGATGGCAGCTCTGTACTATGTGTGCCTTTTTTTTTTTTTTGGCTTTTCTTAAGATTCTTTTTTATTTTTCACTGTACTCCTTTTTTTATTTTTATTTTTGTTCATTTTAAGTGAAAGTTTACAATTCAAGTTAGTCTCTCATATAAAAATTCATACATATATTGTTTTGTGACCCTACTTGCTCTCCCTATACTGTGACAGCACACTCTTTTTTTCCACACTGGATTTCCTGTGTCCATTCAACCAGCTCCTGACCCTCTCTG